TGCATTACAAATTGTATTTTGTTACTTTGTTATAGAGTACTCCCTCTATTCCTTTTTAATTGTTTGAACATCTTGTTCAATTCCCTTTTAATTATCTCAATCTATTAAAATATCATGTTTACCTTTCTTTAAAACCACAAAACTCATTAAATGTGATAGTCGACAAGACTAAACTACACCAATTAGATGTAGGGCAATTTAATAAAAATGAAGTAAAGATTATATAAAATTAAGCAAAATAACTACTTTTCTCAATCTAAGATTTTAGTTAAATTGGACAATTAAAAAGGAACAAAGGGAGTAGTAACTTAAGGTATTTTTCTACAATTTATTTATAAATTAAAATATAAATATTAGAAGCGTATATCTTTCATTTCTTTTTTTTTAATTTAACCGATATATATATATATATATATATATCTTCATTTTATTTTTTTTAATTTAACCGTATATATATATATATATATATCTTTCTATTTCTTTTTTTGTTAATTTAACCTATATATATCTCCAAGTCTTGGTGATTTGAGACTAAGGGATCGAAATATAGCAGGGTTAAAGTCTTCTCAATGAGAATTTAGAGGAGATCAAATTGTATTCTTACTATTACCATATATATATATATATATATATATATATATCTCCAAGTCTTGGTGATTTGAGACTAAGGGATCGAAACATATAGCAGGGTTAAAGTCTTCTCAATGAGAACTTAGAGGAGATCGAATTGTATTCTTAATATTACCAAGATAGAGACTGTTTATTATATCTTGACAAATCATTTTTTGGTTACGATATCTTCACTGTAAAAAAAAAAAAAACTATATCTTCCTCAATTTATTGAAGCTATAATCACATTAATGATCTTTTATTATTACATATATTATTATTTCTAAAGTAAAACACTATAAATAGTATACAATTACAAATAATGATTCCTTTCCACTCATTAATTAGCATATTGAGTCCTCATTAGCCAGTACAAATTTACAAGCCATCCTCAATCAAAACCAGCAAAATGATAATGTACTCATGCAATGCCATATAAGAAGATCAAAGATTCTCTTTTTGGCTTTGGAAAAGTAAAAAAGCACACTCCACTCTTTCTCCCTTTCTCATAAAGGTTCATCATATCATTCTTTTTAATATATATATATATATATATATATAAGTAGGACCATATTCATTTTATTAGTTATTTTTATTAGTTTATAACCCTTAAATACAAAGAGGAAGGGAGGGAGAGAGCAAATAATGCCTAAACAAAAGAATCAATATACAATTATTGAGCGTATCATGCCTAAACAAGATTATTTAATTTTAGTATTTTGATGTGCGTGTTGATAGTATTTATGAAAGAAAACAATTGCTTCGTGGCAGCTTAGGAAAATTTATTAAAGAAGGTCGCCATCAAACTTATGGGCTTAAAAAGTTCCACTAAGGTAATTTATATATTAAGATGTGATGAAGTGTGATACTATATTGGAAGATATTTTTGTTTGGAGACTGTCAAGCTATCAACAATCATTGATTGGAGAATTGGAAATTCGAGATAGAAGGAGGGAAAGAAAAGACAAGGTTTCATTCAAAGCCCTACCCTTTATTAAAGGAATTCAAACAATCAAATAAGAGAGGACCATCAGCTGCCACTCAATCTGTCAGTATAGCAATGGCATCAAATGCAAAGAAAAGCAATACATATCGACTCATTATTAGAAGGTAATTTGGTGGAAAAGTCATGGTGATATTAAATTTTTTATTTTTACTAATTTGAGTTTGGTGGGTTTGGGATTCAAGAAAAGGAAAAAAAAAAAAAAGAGTGGGTTTCAATTTGATGACCAAGTCTCAATTGTTTGGAACTCAAAAAGTCTCAATTGTTTGATCCGGGGGAATGGAAAGAAATATGGGACCATTTTTAACGTGGAAACTTGGAAAGGAGTTACTAGTTACTACAAATATAGTATACATGTTATGTTATATGTAAATACAATATTATGGTAATACTGATAAAATTAATAATGATTCTGGAAAAAAAAGACAAATTTAAATATATACGAGAGGGGTACCTCATGCTTATGCTACAGGGAACTTTTAATGTGGGTAAACTTATTTGTACCTGTTATTTGTTTTGTAAATGTATACAGTAAAACTTCCATAAATTAATACTCGATAAATTAATAATCTCTCTAAAATAATATTTTACTTCGGTTCCGACTTGGGCCAGTTATAAAAATTAGTAATTTCGATAAATTAATAAGATAATAATTTTTCTAAAAACCCTTATATATGTATATAGTCCCATCAATATTATAAATTAATAATTCTCTAAAATTTACATATATATCTAAGATAATTTAGTAAAATATGAATATATTGTTATTTGTTTTTTCATGAAATTTAAATCTGATTGAATTTCATCTCTAATTCTTCCCATTGCACTTAAAAGTTCCGGTTGTTGTCTTCTCGAAATGCAACAAAAAATTCTGAAGAGTTGTTGTTGCTTTGATTGCATCCTTTCAGGTGATTGGTATTGAATCATCTTCTGCATCATCCTCAACAGGATTTCCAGTGACACTTGCCACAATTTCTTCTAAGCTTTGAGCCTCTAAACATTCATCATCTTCCTAAACCTCTAAACAATGAACATGACTAGTAATAAATTTTATTTAATTAGTCAATGGTTTGAATACTTAAAACAATGAATACATATTTATGTATATTAGTTATATTTATTTATATGATCAAATTTATGTTATGGAATAAAAAACTCTTTAAATTAATATTTTATCAATTTATCGATTAATTAATAACTCTCTAAATTAATAAATTTCCATGGTTCCAACATTATTAATTTATAGAAGTTTTACTGTACTTGTTTCCACACATAGTAAAGTAATATATATCATCATAATATATCCTTCAAAAATGAATCATTTAAAAAATGCATTTTTAAATATCCTTCAACAATGGATGAACGCAAAAAAGAAATGAAATCCATTTCCCCAAAGACCTACTCGAGTTCAATTTTGCGCCACTGTTTTGTTGTCGCTTCGGTTTTCTCGCTTGTCAGAAAAATTAAAGGCCATTAAGTTAGTTTAATGAATGTAAATATTGTTCACACCATACCATATTTGGGCTCAATGAATTCAGAATTTTAGACCCAATAACCGATTATTCATTTTCATTCTATTAATGAAATTAGATGAGTATAGATTTCAACAAAAAAAAGAAGAAGATGGGTATAGAATTAAAAATAGTACTACTTTAGACAAAACAAAGCCTTACTATAAACAAAAACAAAAAAAAAAAGAGAAAAAAAACCCAAAAAGATGAGCTACTATAAAAAGGATCATTTGTTTTTGATAGTCATTAATCAATTGTCCTTACGATCCATTAAAACACACTAATGTGTGTGGACATAGTTAATGATCTAAAAATAGTCAACAAAACCAAAATTTACTTCTATAAACCACATAGAATAGAATATAATGATTATTGAGTAATTAGCTAAGAGAGAAACCAAAACGGGACGAAAAGGCTGTTTCTAGGGGTGTAATCGAGCCGAGTAGTGAACTACTCAAGCTCGAGCTTGACTAAAACTATTAGGGCTCGAACTCGACCGAGCTTAGTTTTAGAGGCTCGAGCTCGACTCGAGACCGAGCTCAAGCCTATTCGAGCTACTCGATTAGGCTCGGTTGGAAAGCTAAAATCCTCAAGTTCGATCCAAAGATTACAAGTCTGCAAATAAAAGATTGAAGCAAGAGACGTGTGGATCTAGAGGAAGCCAAAGACAACAACTCAAGATTATAGAAACAAAGAACAAACTACGCTGAGATAAAAATTGAAAACATAAAAGGGGAGCTTGGCGTCGACGGTGGCTTTTAACAGTGGAGTGTAGCGTCAAAAAACGAAAATCGAAAATATTAAGAAGAACGAAGTAGTTAACAATGGCTTTGAACTATTATGTTGATGTTGTGCTGGAAAAACAAAAAAATAAGAAAAAATGATGGGTTGACTTGGATGGACCCTTTATCTTACGGGAAGGGGCGGCGATACAATTGGAAAAGTGGTGGGAAGAAGAAGTTTTTAGGTTTTAAGATATGTATAGTTAAAAGACATATATATCCAAGATATCTAATACCCATAAAATATTTAACTAAGGTTGATTTGGTACTTTTATAAATAACATGTATATACAATATATAAAAAATAAGCAAGCTCGATTAGACTCGACGAGTCTACGAGCCGAGTATTAAAATACTCAGGCTCGGCTCGTTGAACTAGGGCTTGAGCTCGGCTCGAATTTTCCGAGCCGAACTCGAATTTTTCTCGAGTCGAGTTCGAACAGCTCACGAACTGTACTGTATCGCTTACACCCCTAGCTGTTCCAGGTTAATAGTTGAAAGGGCTGTGAGTAATTTCACCTGATTACAAAAATAATGGGTATGATATATATATATATATATATATATTAATTTTATTATTTGATTATTCTCTTCGATATATAAAAAGGGAAAAATGAACAAAAACACTGACAAAACTTGCAGATTAAATATTAACGTGAGTTTCCCATTCAACTACAATGGTAAAACGAGGAAAAAATACGACATTCAAAATTCATAAAGTGTTTACCTTACAAAAAGGCAACAATTCCACGAGCAGTTCTCTATTTCAACCATAAGTTTGTATCAAAAAAAAATATTTCAACCATAAGTCTAAGACTCTTACTGATCATAGGTACCACAACCAACATGTTTATGAGAAAATGGATCTAACAAAAAATTAAGGTGCGAAAAACTAGAAGACCACAAGAGGCTAGGTTACGGATCTTGACTTGTGGTACTACGATTGAAAGGCCAGGTTAAAATTCTTTAAACGAAATTGTGTTTGGGGGCGATTGAATATTTTTTGATATCAACACATAGAAATTTATTTATATTACATAAGTCAACAATCAAAAATTCTAATTGTATTTGGATAATTATGGACTTTTTGCCGTCAGATATTTGGCTTGGTGGTAGAGTGTTGAATTCTCAATTTCAACGGTTAGGGTTTAATCCTAATTGCCTCAAATGCTCAAAAAAAAAAAACTATGGGTTTTTTATGAGACCTAATTTCTTATATATTTTCAATGCGATTTTGCCTTATTTTGATAGTCGCAAGTGTCAATTTACCCTTATATTTCTCATCTTTGCTATTTCAGGCCCATTTGGAGTTATTAATTAAGAATACGGAGATTTCAAGCAATTTTATATCAATTTGGAGAAAGTACTGATTACGACCCATTCGGACCAGCTCGGCCCATGAAGCTCGAAAGTTAAGCCCGAATCATTGAAGATCTAAATCTGATTTCTCTAGGCCCATTTCGTCATTCTTAAAGCCCAAAGAGGAGATCTAAATTAAATCAGCAATTATGATGCAGTAATTAATTAATTATGGAGAAATTTCTTTTCCTAGTCAACATAGGACTTCACAACTGCAGTTTTAGTAAAAAATTTATATCTTTTGATCCGGAACTCCGAAAAATGCAAATGACGTACTGTTGGAAAGCTGACTTCAATCTCTACAACTTTCATGTTTTGTCCAAAAGCCATATCGTCTCTACGATGGACGAAAATGCCCCTGATGTATTCTGGATAGTTTTAATTCAATCCTAATCCGACTTGGTGATGCCCTAAACCGACTTGGAGGCTATTTGGACGAGATTCGGAGCTGCTATTGATGATGAGGAGCACTCCTATTGGCCATGGTGGGATCTTAATTAATGAGGATGATCTTCTACAACCAATTAAAGCTCTTACTTGGAGACAAAGTTGATGTAATTCCTAGTTAGCTTAGCATTAGAATTTTGTTTTTCTATCTTACCCTTTGTGCAGCCATATCTAATGGTTGAGATTCTCACAAGGGTAAGGTATGTCCTAGGTTGCCTATAAATAGGAACCCTTAGCCTTAGGAAATTTATAATTCACATACTTTAGTTTTTGGTGAGAAACCCTATGGGGAAATTCTCTCTAGGAGAGTCGACACCCCTTTGGTGTTTTCTACCCTAGGGATTTTGAATTTTAGGACTGGATTTCATGATGAATTTTATGAGGATTACTTCTCTAATTATGTGTGAGTAAGTCTCTTTAATCTTTCCAATGCAAGTGACAATTGATCTCTTGACAATTTAATTTATGGTGGGGATTTTATGCATATCGATTTTGGTTAAGTTGATTTCGGTTTTGATGTTTATTTATGCTTGCCAAATTTACTAGCTTATGTCGATTTTGCTAAGATGCTTGATGGTTGATTATTGGTTTTAATTGTTGATTTGTGTTCTTATAGGTTTTGCCATGTTAATTTTGATATTGATTACTTGGTGATCTTGTCGATTTAGCTATGGTTATTCTAGGGTTTTGATGTTGTTTGATGGCTGATTTTATGTCCTTGATAATTCAATTTATGTTTTCATGCAATCTCTATGCTTGTTTCTTATGTTTTGATTTGTTAGTTGGATGATATTGGCTAGTTAACTAATTAACATGTTAAAACTATTGTTGAATTAGACTTAATGAAGGCCTAGTAGTTAAGTCTAATAATTGGTAGATTAAGTAATTTTAGTGAATGCCTAGTAACTAAGAAATTTAATTGAGATTTATTTGATCATTATGCTTTGATGAATGTATAGTAATCATAAGTATATGCATGGTTTACCTATTGATCTTCATGCTTTATCTTTTACATAGTTTAAGAAGGCCTAGTATTAAACTAGTAATTGATAAAACGATTAAATTAAGAAGGCCTAGTACTAATTAATTTATAATTGATATAGATTAGGGTAAGGTGAATTTTAGTAATCTTATTTTAGTCAAGGATTGAATTGAATTGATTGTTTTGTTGGTGATTCGATGATTCAGGGTTTTATTTGTCAAGAGTGAGATTCAACTTATGTTGGAAGGATATCTTATTATTATTGTTTTCTTAATTTTAATTGCTTTTAGTTTAATTTATCTTTGCTTATTTATTTTGATATGTTTAACACTACTTTCTTGAGATTAATTGTGATTTTCTAAGAAGAATAAGTAAACAATCTCTCTGTGGGATCGACCTGTTCTTGCCCTAGCTACTAATTAGTTGGAGTTGGTTCAATATTTATTTTGTGACTCGTTAACAACACGATCATAATTTTGGTGCCGTTCCCGGGGAGATTGCGCCTTCACTTTTCTTCTTAACATCTTTTCTTTTCTTTACATCTTGTTTCTTTCACCCTTGTGTGTTTGTTTGTTTTTCTCTGAAAAGACAGGAATCATGGAGTTGCCGCCTACTGATCGGTCGTCAACAATCATAAAAATAAATATCCCAACAATTACTAACTAAACTAGCTAGGGCAAGTAGGGGTCGATCCCACAGAGAGAACGGCTCTTCCTTTTCTCAAACAAAACAAAATAATAAAGAGAATTTAAAGAAGAATTAAAATTAAATCTAACTAAAAGTAAATTAACTAAGAAAGCAATCAAGAAAATTAAAGAAAACAGTTAATCAAAAAGCAGTGAATATTATGAGAAAATCAATTAAATAGAAACCTCCAACATAGAATTAATATCCCTCTTGACAACAATAACATGGATCATTGATATCTAAAGATTATGAGAACCTTGAATAGCCTGTCGGACTTAACCTAAATTACCTTAATTAGATTAGATTACCGATTAAAGTCAATCTATCCCTTTTACTCTTTCAGCAATCAATTACTTTCTTAGGGCTTAGAGATCACTTAGGAATAAAGCATAAAGAACTAGTAATTTAATAACAAGCACAATGAGAAATTTCTCGCCCATCGATTCTTTTCTCTCTTGGATGGAGGATTAATTCTCATCCAATTGCTACATAAAATTAAGCTGGAGTGATTAATTCACAACTTAATCTAGCCAATGCTAACTCAATTTATCATGAAAGTGTCGACCCAGTCAATCAAAACAAGCAACATAGAATTCATACATAGATCCAAGAAATACTCAAATAAATTCTCATATAAAAGCACAAAATCTCACCATGGAATTACTCAAGAGATCAATTAAATTCTACATTGGAGAAAAGAAAGGGATTACTCACTCATAAATTGAGTGATCATCCACAAACAAGAAGAAGAAAGCTTATCCATGGATGAGGAAGAGAAGGGGGCGGCGGCTCCTAGGGTTTTTCTCCTCCAAATCTTCAACTAAATAATATATCTTATGAAGAATAAAATTACATTCAAAATCTAGACCTAAGGTGGCTATTTATAGTGGAGAAACAAAGGTAGGGCGGTTTAGGGCTGACTTAGACTCCAAATTGGATTAGATGTCATCCTAGAGTAGAATCCAAGTTAGAATAGGATTCTGGAATTTTCTCGATTTCTGCAGAAACTTCGACTTGATATTCGGGCTTGAAGATGGCAGATCTGGGCTTTACACTTCAAAGGAAAGTTGTAGAGCTCGGAGTTAGCTTTCCAACGGCTACTCATGGGCTTAAAACGGAGATCTGAGTAGAAAATTATGGCCTTTCTACCGAGACTGCGCTGAAATCGGGCTTATATCGCAAATCTACGGGATTATTACGGGATTTGGATATTCTTTTGGATATTAGGCCTACAAATTGGGATTTTAACTCCAATTATAGGTTTATATGGGCTGAGTATATTCCCATATAAATTATCCAAAAATCCTCAACTTCAGGGCTTCTTCTGGGCTTGGTTTCAATCCTTTGCAATTTGAGCTCCAATCTTCAATCATTGCTCCTTGAAATAATTCTTCAATGATCTTCAAATCTTCAAATTATCTTCAAGAAATCTTCAAACACGAACTTTGCATCTCCAAATCTATACTCAAAATTACTTTGCTAATATCTGTGTAAAATGTCATCAAAATAGCTCCAAAAGTAGTGAAAATAAGCAAATTCTCAATTTCACATCTCATAAGACTAAAAACACAAATACTTAGAAAATAAGGCAAAAATGCATATAAAAGTGGTAAAAAGTATAGAAAAATAGCCATAAAAATATGCATAATTTGAGCTCGATCATATTTTCCCCCACACTTGAACTTTGCTAGTCCCTTAGCAAAATAAATGTAAGTTAATCAAAAATCAAAATTTTCAAAAGATCAATTTGACTTCATTCATATATCAAAGAATTAATTTAATCATGAAATCAAAATAGTAAAGAACATCAATAATACTTAATCCAAAGATCAATCAATAGCAAGCATTATCATTCTTAAGTAGCCATAATCAAAGTAGCTCTAATTACTTACCATCCCTCACTTTTATAACTACTTCTCTCTATAAGCTTGGACATTCATCTTTCTCTCCATTACTCAAAAGATTACAATGTCATAAACAAACCAAGAATTCATGTGGGTTATAATAGTTTTTAAACGGTAATTGATTTTAGAAAACTGAGGTTACTAACCTCTGAAGTGTTCATGCTTAGGGGTTAGTAACTCCCTTTATTTTAATTTTGAGGCTACTAGCACTCTAGAGGGACAATATTTCTGTTTATCCATGCCTCTTATCCTCTTCCCAAAGGTTACTAACTCCTTTTGCTTAAAGAGAAGAGTGACAACAATGGAGTTTTTTTTTTTTTTAAAACAGAAAATATCTCTTCTCCTCTTGCATAATATCACTTCTTTATGAAAACGGTTTTAATTACCCTTTATATAGATAGTCCCCCACACTTATTCTTGACAAATCTATAGTATGCTTTCTTAATTGTAACTTCAATCAAGATTCAATACAAGTTCTAGAAATAGATAATCATGAAAGCAATGAATAATAAGATCATATCACAAACTTCAATTATACCTAATTCTAAGAAATCAAAACTTCTTACTATGAATCAATCAGAGAATAAAGCATTATTAAAAATTCTAATCATTCATCAATCATAATCAAATCAATCATTCAATATATTCTTGAAAAATCATCAAAATTTTCAATAAAAATCAATTTTTTTTCCGAAAAATCTTCTTCAAAAATTGGGGAAAATAGACGATCCAAAACAATCATATTTTTATTCTAGATTCTCATGCAAAAGACTATCATATGACCCA